CCTGTAACTTCCACCTCATTTGAAAAATACCAAGCAGTAGCAAGTGTTGGCAAGATGTGGGCCCACGGGAACCCTCCCACGCTGCGGCGGGAACGTCCAACGGCAGCTGCCATGTGACCGCTGGGTCCACAGACGCCCAGAGATGAAAGCACGTGCGTGCCACGCCTCACACACGGGGTCACTGCTGCAGCATTGATAATAACCAAAAAGTAGACAGAACCCAAACGTCCATCAGGAGATATGTCGATGACTAGAACGTGCTGTATCCATTCAACCAGAGGTCATCTGACCACAAGAAGGACTGAAGTGCCAACACCTGCTACCTGGACGGAGCTTGAACGTGCAGAAGATGCACCCAGCAGCCGCTCACACACGGGCTCGAAGCTCTTCACACAGTAACTCCCGCGGGCCTCACGGCAACCAAGGCAATGGTGCCATGCCTTCCGATTCCCACGTCGACAAAGGCCATGCACAGCTGGTAAGGGGCAGAGCCTGGGTCTGAACCCCGGCGGCCAGGCTCCAGCGCTGAACGTTACCATGGGGCCCGATGACTCACCCCCAGCAGCAGCACAGGCCTGGACTGCTGACATCCAGACGCCAACGTAGGAGAGAGCCATAAACCTCCACCGTCAGGTCCCCGTAGACCCCTAACACATTGGTGACCGCAGGACTCTTGATAAGCACATTCAGAGCCACGCCTCTCAGCTGCCACCCCCAGGGCTACAATTCTCATCGCAACCCCCAGTGCAAACCTCTCCCCCAGCTCCAGATCAACGAGTCCGAAACCAGAATGGTCATCTCACCTCCTAAACCAGCTGCCTGTCCAGGACAATGGCACCACATCCACCTTGGACCCTAGGAACATGCCAGACTTCTCCTTCTCCTCACCCTCCGCTCCCATCAGCCTCCTTCCCCTCTACGTCAACCCCTTCACCACCTCGCCGGCCAGGCTTTCTCTCCAGTGCTGGGCCCTGCCTTCACCTGCCTCTGGGCCTGCTCCTATCAGCCCACGATGTCTCTCTATGCACACGGTCCTTGTTTTTGCTGGGACAGCGCGGGTCCTCTCTCAACCTTGTTCTAGACCTGCCTTCCTCAGGGGCCTGAACTAAGTCCAAAGTAGCAGCTACGTTGCTGCTTCCTCTAACTTCCAAAAGGTAAAATTCAAGCACCTGTCACATACCTGTTTCGAGAGGAAGGTGACATATCTACCAGGTGTGCTGGCTAGGCAGTCCTGCACACTCTGCCTGGCCTCTGGGTCAAGGATGCACTCTGCATGATCAGGCACCAAGGCGTGGCTCGGATCGAGAACGGGCACATTCACACATCGGCAAACCTAGCGTCTATGCACCTAAAGCTTCTTATCCCTAAGGCTTCAGCCCCTTAAATTCCCAAACCTTCCCGGCATCGGGCACTCTTCCACGGCGGAATTTTCTGAGCATGTCATCTACTCCCGTTATAGAACTCCACTCATGGGGACTCCCCAGGCTTCAGTGCGCCCTAAATGACTGTACTTACCAGCCTCCACGCCTGGACGGGCTCTGCACACTGCCACCCCACCTCTGAGATCACAGGAAGTCTCCTGACCTCCTCCCCCACCCCTCCTGAGGATGACAGCCTCCAGAGCCCACCCAAGACTGTGGGCCCATTCAGAGGGCAGTCAAGGATCTGTGCCACGTTTACGTAGGCAAGTGGTGGCTGGCATGTGCTGTGCGTGCACACACGTGTGTGCCTGTGAGCATAGATGTGCGTGTGCTAAACCTGCATCGGGGGACGCTGTGACCTTTGAAAGTGGGACCAAACGGCCTTTCCCCAGCAGTGTGAGGTGCTCCGCGAGGAGACCTGAGCCAGTGGCACACGACTCTGACCCATCCCAGCGCTGTGTTAACAGCCCTGGGAGACCGTCAGGGCCACTGGACCAGCTCCATGCTGCTCCACTTCCAGGCTACTCCTGTTCTCCCCTTGTTCCCGGCTTCCCCGTGTTCTCTGATCATTTCTTCATGCCCTGCAAGTTGCTTCCACCACTCATCATCCTGGCCAGCCTCCCCATGAAGATGAACGAACCCTCTGCAAAGGAAGCAGTCAATCTACTTGATGAGCCAAAGTCCTCCGAATCAGACCCTATTTGTCAACCCCAGATACATCAGCCACTGTTCACTTCCCATCTCCGTCTTTTTCAAGTCACAAAACATGGCATTAAAAGGCCGCTATGTGGCAGGACCTGCAAAGTCAGGACCCCTGCTGCTCAGAAGTGGCTGCCCCTGCCTGGGACATCACAGTCGTTGGAGCTGATGCCGGATTCCCCTCCTCCCTCGTGAACCAGCAGGAGCACGGCAGGCCTGGAGCCGGGGACGCGCAACAAACCCTCCACGGGCAAAGCCCGGCTCCCGATCAGGCCCGGCAGCTCTGCCCACCGCAGCCTGAGGGCGCCTGGAGGGATCTCACACCAGGAGGGGATTCTTCTCCCCTCAATTAATGGGGACTGTTTCCCAGAGTTCAGCTTAGAAGAAAGGAAAACCAAAACAACACACGCGTGTCCTGAGGACAGAGTCATGGGCATCTTTTGGGAGGGAGGGCGCACGCGGGCTGACCCCTGTGCCATTGGGCACCACGAGCGTCTAAACGGTCATGTGGGAACAGAATGCAGACCCCAAAGTCCTGCAGGACACTCAGGGATCCAAACCACACAATCCTATGACCAGGTTTCACCCTCTGAAAGAAAAAACTGTATCTGCAAGATCTTCAATAAGCAAAGCATCTAAGGTTTACCCGCTTAAAAACCCAGCCAACCAGAACACCTTCAGCCTAGTGGCTGGCAGCACGCGTGCCCCATGCCCGGGAGCTTCTGCACAGCGCCCGGGCTTCCCCGCGCCCAGCAGACTTGTCCCAGAGCTGCCGCGGGGACTCATCCTATGGGGACCGCCCTCCCTCGTCACCAGGCCCAGCATCACAGCAGGTCTTCCAGCCCGTCCACTGCACTCCTACACTCCCTCCACACGACGCCCCTGCTCATCCCACAGGGCACAGCTGGAGTGCCACAGAGTCGTCTGAGCCCTAGGCCTGGGTTTGCTTTCCTGCACCCCATGCACCTCAAGATAACACGAATATCTGTTTTCATTAAACTTCTTTGTTACTGGTTTAAAACCTGTCTTCCTACTGTAACCACAAGCTCAACGGGGCAGGAACCATACTCGCTTTGCTCGCCTGTGTCCCTACCACCCTGCCGAGGACCAGGAGATGCCCTCTCGACACAGGCTGACTTGAACTGACGCGGTCTCCACACGCTGGTGCTCTGCCCAAGACCAGCACCCCAGCGCCCGCCCATGAAGGTCTTCGTGAATGACACTACCGCACAGGAGGCTGGCGGGTTGGGCTCCAGGACACTTCAACAGACCTGAGGCTTTCTAAAGTAAGGAGAGGTGGACCAGGACCGACACACGAACACTCCCAAGTGCGGATGGCAAGAGGTGAAAGAACTCACACCCACCAATCATACCTGAAAGCCAGGACCAAAAAGTAAAACATGTCCACTTAAAGACACAGCCAACTGCCAGAAATAAATGGTGCGTTTCATACAAATGTCCCCAAACCACCCCGTACATCCACTCGATGCACGTGCGCGTCCTGGTGCATGTGCACACGTGTGTGCAGGGGGGTGTCACAGGAAGGCAGGACAGAGCACAAATCCTAGCTCCTCTGGTTCTTCTCTCTTCTAGACAATGACCACCACAGTCCGTCTCGCTGACGATTCAGGCAAACCCAGTTAAGGATGGCTTGGGTCTTACGGCATGAGTTGGTGGTAAAGTAGTTGAGACAAACTTACTTACCACATTAATTAAATGGTCTATTTAACATGGAATATCAATTCTCTAATCCCATCTCAGCTGAAGTTCTTCTTTCAATTAACTACCCCGAAGTCTACTGACAGGCCCTACTGTGCTAGGATCATTAAGAACATTTTCATTATCTGTCAAGGTGGGAGGAAGAAGCAGAAAGGCAAGCGCTCTCGGAGCAGGCTTCTCCCCTCCATGAGAGCCGATTAGAGACGGAGCCGTGGTGGTCCTCATTAGTTGCTTAGCAATGAAAGCCCTCCTATGAAACCAGCAACGCAAAGTGTGAGAGGTTGCAATAAAACGCACTGAACGAGCATGTTCTCGTCCTCAGAGAGTAATCTGTCCCAGCCAAACCTCCTCCCTCGGATCACAACCATGATGAGAAGCTGAAGCGGCTAAAGACACAATCTCATAAAAACAAACAAATATCAAGTCGGGAAGGTTCACGTGAAGAGAAATTAAAATTGGTTTTTAATAAAAATGCTACACGCAAACAGCAAATCCCTCCTTTGGTTATTTATTTTTTATCCACAGATAAATTAAAAAGTAGATCCCATATTTATATTTTCAGAATTTTTCTAAAGCTTAACATATGTTCATAACAGGTACAGTTATATTACAGTTGACTGCTATACCATAAATGGAGAAAAAAATACACAGCACTCAAAGAGAGACCGCACTGCCCAACCTAAATCTCCGTTAAACCAATTACTTTGCATGTAATTAACATTCCCATAAAATGAACCGCTACTAACATCAAAGGTAGAAAGGAGACAACGTGCTGCAGAATGCAATCAAAGCTCAGGTTTTAGCTTGTCAGCAGAACATTCGACTAACGTTCTGTCACCTTGACCCGACCCATTCAAATCCACCCCGTGAAAGCCAGCCATCAGAACAAAACCATGCTCCTCGTGTATGGTTAAAAAGAAGAGAGTAAGAGTAAAAACTGCATCTTAATGTCTTCTTCAGTAGTTAAACACGTGGATTTACAGACTTTTTTTAAAGCTGGCGTCAACAAGGAAACTATACTCTCTATTTTCAGTTGTCATTACAACATTTAACTTAATGGCACATCTCAACATTGGTGCAATGATGCATAGTAACTTGGCAAGGCCACCAAAGTTCACGTTCAATGTCTGCAGGGAAAAAAACATCATGATATGGTCTTACCTATGTGTTCGCACATGAAGACTACAAAGAAAGGAGTGACAAGGTCATTAATCCCCTGAACATATCCACTGGCAGGGTGACGTATCGCCCATATAAACAATATCCTTTCAAAAATCTGCAAGAAAATTGAACAGGTGGTGAAGCAAAAGTAAACACATCAGAAACTTTAAAATGTACGCATTCTTTCCCTCAAAATACATATATACAAGCAACATTTTTCACTGTCTCTAACATTAAAAGTAAAAATGTAAACAAAGTATTAATTGCTACTTAATTTTTTATAAAATCCCCATGATCTTAATTTCTTACTGACTTAAAAGCAATTGCAGTGTCTCACGGAGCCCCGGGCTCAGCCCTGCCACACGAGCTGGCTCCCACAGGAGACACTGTCCGCCCCCGCCCCAAGCCCCGCGGGCAGAGATTGCACACGGCTGCCCAGGACGTGGTCAGGTGGTACAGCAGCACCTGGCGTCTGGGTGAGTGCTCCCTCCGTGTGGAGGGACGGGAGAGCAGAGGACCGGGCAGGCGGGCGGGCAGGTGCACCCAAGGATGGATGGGTGAATGGAGAGAAGGAAGGAAGCATGGTGCGGGGATGGGGGCTGTGGTCAGGGGAGGGGGTACATGGAAAGATGCTCTGAATTTCCCTCATATGGTAAACAGACTGTTTTAAATGAGGCAGAAGTGACATATGACATTATATTAGTTTCAGGTGTACAATATTTGAAGAGTGACTCAACATTGGTATATATTACAAAATGATCTTTTGTAATATATGTAAGTCTAATTAACACCCGTCACCATACAGTTACAAATTTCTTCTCTCGTGATGAGGACTTTGAACATCTCTTAGCAACTGTGAGACATGCAACACAGTATTATTAAACAGTTAGCACACCGTCCATTACATCCCTGACTTACTTTACATTGACACCCCCGCCCATTGCACCCACAACCACCCCCACCTCTCCCAGCCACCAATCTGTTCTCTGTATCCATGCGCTTGGTTTGTTTAATCAGTGCACAGTTATCATCACCCAAGAGCACCTGCTCCAGCATCTTCCCATCACATACATTCCCACCAGCCGTTCCATCACCCAGGCCATGGACACAGGAGTAGCTTAGCCTCCTCTCTCTCCTTGCAAGACCCTCACTGCTGACCCAGGCCTCATGCTAAGAAGGTACACGGGGCAGGCTCAATGAGCAAATGCCCAAACAGCGCGTGAATTGCCTCATTTCCAAAGAAGTCAAGCCTGTAGGGCTAACTGCACTTGTACCCGAGGAGGTCAACCCCTTTCTGCACTGCCCTCACTCCCAAATATCACCGAGCTTGTGGTCTGCATCCCCAAATCAGCACCAACACAGCTCTACAGCAGGGGCCCTGGGGCCTAGATGGGGAAGTTTCTTAACCCAGGGCCCATGGGCAACAAGGGGCAACATCAGCCCTAGAATCCAGGCCCCCATCCACTGTGCTTGCTCCCAACAAAGAAAGTAGCCAGCACATAAGCCGGGGCACCTGGGCACAGAGCCTGTCCCAACAGGGCAGCTGCTAAGGACCTGCTGCTGAACGAGTCGTGCGTTCATGCACATACGTTCATACCTGTGTCTCATTTTACAACCGCTTTCTAGCAAGAACTAGCAAGAATATTCAAACAAGAGCAAAAGACCAAAACCACTCAATACGTGGCATCATTTGCCATTTCTCTTGTGCAAACACGACGTGGCTGACACCGTGCCACCACACTGGGCGCCCTCACCCTGGTGACACTGGAAGCAGCACTCGACCCGTCACTGCAGTGGCACGGTGGTCAGACGGGCACGCAGGGCCCATGCAGGGGAGGACCCCTCTCGCAGACCCTAGCCACCACCCCCCCGCCTCCGGGCAGCCACGCAGCAGTCACGGCCCTGCCCGGCCACCTGGGCACAAGGAAAGCCCGGGACAGTGTCCCAACCCTTTCCTCACCGTGGACAGGGTAGGGACAGGCTGAGCAAGCGAGGGCACAGTCAGCGCCGAGACCGCACCAGGGACAGAGAATGGGCAGGACCAGGCTGCACGAGGACAAGCGGGGGCAGTGCCCAGCAGGACAAACTTGTGACAGTTCACCACAGAGCAGTGCAGAGCTGTGAAAGTCAGCTAAGCATCTCCTCACGAATAAGACCCCGAAGTATATGTTCAGCTCACTGGCCGGTTTCTACCCCACACTGGAAAGTTCTAGCAAAGACAACCAGGAAGATGGGGAATTCCCGTGCATGCACGCTCAGTCACGACATGGCCAGGAACAGCGGAGCCTGAATAGCGGAGGTGCATCCCCACCGTCAGGTCAGGCAGGCCCCCAACCGGAGACCCACAGGTAAGATGATGGGGCCAAGTGAGGTGAAAAGTACCCGCTCTGGCCCATGCCTCCCTGGTGGAGTGTGGCTCCTTCAATTCCCAGCACGGCCTTCATCCCCTGCACAAGGCGATGCTCGATGGCCCCAAGAGCACCCAGGATGGGATCAGGCCACTCCTTCAGCCATTCTTCGCATGGCCCTTGTCCCCTCTACAGGGCTACCCTCAAGACATGGCAGCGGGGCACCCAGAGATGGGGTCAGCCTACTCTGAAAGAAGCTCCCGGGCTGGGCACCCGAGCAGGGCACCACAACAGAGAACCACATGGTGCAGGGCACTGTCTGCGGCACCCTCCAGGTGACCCAAGGCAGGGAGCAAGGGCCTCTGTGGTCGCCACACGACAACCAGGCCTGAGGAGGGCTGGGAACAAAGGACAGCGTCAGCTCCCCACCACGTGGGTGGAAAGGCTCCACAGTGGTACACACTGCATTCCAGAGGCCACTGAGAGAAAAGGAGAGATGGAGGAGTGCCTTGAGGACAGGAAGGCGTCACTGGGGACAGCCCTGAATGGCACGGTGCAGTACGTGGGTGTCAGTAAGCAACCTAACCCCAGGAATGACAACACTAGTGTGATCACGTAGTTGCTAACATCGATTCAATGCTACTGTCCTGACCACCTTCACTAGCTCATCCTCCTCTACACGTGGAGGCAGGTATGATTACTACCCCTTTCAGACGAGGTGGCGGACAGACCCCGGATGGCTCTGTGCCTCCCCCCACCTCCTGGTGTATGCGCTCTTGTGTGGCCCCTTCCCCTTGAGTGTGAACAGCCCTGCACCCTGCTTTGCACAGGGGATGGGATGTGCAAGATTATGTCACAGAGGACGACAACCGTCCTGCTGGGAGACGCTCTCCCTGCTGACTTCAAGGACACAGGCTCCCACACTGTGAGCTGCATAAGGAAAGGGCCGTGTGCCCAGGACCTGAGGGCAGCTGAGAAGCAGCAAGGAACCCGGGCCACAGCTCCACAGCCTACCAGCAACCGAATCCTGCCAGCAACCACGTGGGCCTGGAAGCGGCCCTTCCCCAGTCAAGCCTCAGATGCGTCTGCAGCCCAGACCACACCTGATTGCCACTTGGGGAGATCCTAAGACATGCCCAGACTCCTGACCCACCGAAACTGCGGGACAACAAATAGGAGTAAGTGTGTGTTGTTTGAAGTGCTAGGTTTGTGGTGATGTCGTTACACGGGAACAGGTAACTCATACAGATGAGAAAGCTCAGGCAGCCACAGGGTAAGCAATTCACCCAGAGCAGCAGAGCCAGGAGTCCACGCTGGTATCTGACTAAACGGGGGTCTTGTGAGGCCTACAAAATGCCACCACCGATCTGCATTAGTACATATGCTTTCATATGCAAATCAAAAATGAGAGACCACCAAAAAATTATAACTATATGGTAAGAAAGAAACAGCAAGTCAATGAGCTCCTGCTGAGCAAACTACATCTAAACTTGGTTTCCACCTGTCCGAGGCCTAGCAGGGACCTGGTCATCAGAGGGGCCTGGTGTGTACACATGCATGTACACAGACACGTGAAATGTGTGCACAGGTGTGAGGTGCGTGTGCACACAGATGTGTGGTACCTGTGTGCGGGCAGGTGTGTGGGGCACGTGCGTGTGCACTGGAGGAAAAGCCAGAGCTCAGGGCACCAAAATCTCCTTTCCTGCTTTGCAATCTCATTATCCTGGGGGAGTGGTCATGTCATCAATGGACCCCTCCCAACCCTGTCACTAAGCCCCAGACTTTCAGAGCACTTGGCTATCGCTCACTCGCCCTCTCTCTCTCTCTCTCTCTCTCTCTCACACACACACACACACACACCCTAACCCCACTCACAAGCAGGAATGCAGGTTTTCGCTTGGCAACCCTGGCACAGAAGAAAAGCTGGTGCAGATGACTGAGCCGGCTCCGCACGGCAGGGAATGTGGAGGGGACATGAGTGTTCTCAGTGCAACCAGCACCTGGGCAGGCAACTGGAGTGGCCTGCTCGCGATTCCTGGGCCCAGAGACCACAGAAGGTCTAAGAAAGCAGCGGGGGAGACGTGCTGGCCAGGTCCCAAAGCTGCCCTCGCAGAGAGGCCAGAGCAAGCTGTCCTGAGATGGACTAGGCTCCACAGGACATTACCTGGGGAAACTGAGGAAAGCACTCAGGGGCAAACGCGTCTGGTGAACACGGCTGAGCAAGGAGGCAGGAGGAGGCAGCTGAGCCTTCTCAGTCTCAAACAGACCGCTCATGTGCTTCCAAAGCCTTCTGTAAGGGAGCCAACAACCTAGCAATCGCCTACTGCCCCCTTCACCTGGGCCCCCGTGCGGGGCTTCCAGAAGCAGGGGCCGGCCCTCACGCTCACAGCTTGCAGAGTGCCCTGTATCTGTACTACTTTGGGAAAACTTCCAGAATTCAGATTTCCCATTAATTAAAGAAAAGCTATCAGTCAGGTAGTTCAAATTATTTATACTTAACTCTACTTGATCTCTCTTGATAACCTGAAAATTATACTATTAAGGCTTTAATCCCAGTAACATGTAAATAAAGAGATAAGTAGTTCAAGCAAAAACAAAAATGGTTCTTTTTTTTTAAAAGATTGTATTTATTTATTTGAGAGAGAGAGCGCGCACAAGAAGGGGGAGGGGCAGAGGGAGAGGCAGACTCCCCGCTAAGCAGAGAGCCCGATGCAGGGCTGCATCCCCGGACCCCAGGATCATGACCTGAGTGAAGCAGACGCTTAAC